CTGGGACGCAACTCAATGGGAAAGGATTCTGATTTCAACCGTTGCGTATGTTAGCTGCGACAAATGAATCAAGATGCTATGACCGAAAACATTTGATTGACAGATGACCGTTGATATATGATTGGCCGAATTTAGGTGTTCAGGCTGACGTAGAACTAACTGGCCTGCAGAAGATAACAGGAAAAAAAACACAGATAATACGACAGGATTTTTTGTTTGTTTTTTTAAATAGAAATTTTCTAAATTTTAGGACAATATCATCTGATAAAGAGAACATTTATATACATGTTTAAGCCAGAATGATTTGATATTTAAATATGATTTCCCTACGACTTTAATATGGCTAACTGGCCAAGCTAAAAGGGCTAACCTGTTAGCTACAGCTAGCCACAGCGCTACACAGCTCTCACTGCAAAAAAAGGAAATCTAAATAAGTAATTTCTTCTTAAATTAAAAGCATTTTTTCTTGAATTAAGGCTTTAAGTGAGACACTTTGCCAATGGAACAAGACAATTTACACTTAAAATAAGAAATAACAATTGCATTGTCTTATTTCAAGTGCTTTTTATCTAGATACCTTATTTTAAGAGTAAAAATACTCATTCCATTGGCAAATCATCTGCTCAAATTAAGGTTAAATACCCTTAATTTAAGACATTTTACTCATTTTGAGATCATTTTTGCAGTGCTCCTCCTTTATATGATGGTCTAACAGTTACTTTGTTCACCAGAAACAGATTTTTTTTTTCAGTTTTGTTATCGATCAGGTAAAACTTTGGTCATTAGAAACGCTAGAGAGGCTCCCGACTCGTCACACTGACGATGCATTATGTTATTATTATTGTTGTCCGGGGCAACTACAACGTTTTACATCATGTGGCAACGTTCAATCAATCATGTAGCGTAACGTCACTAACAGGAAGCAGGACCCAAGCAGATCTGGTAGCTACGCCGGTCCGGATGGGGTTGTGACACCCTCCTCCACAGACCCCCATTTCCCCCGTTTCTGGTAAAGACGGTGGAGAAAAATCCGACCTCTCTGTCACAGAACTATTATCACTGGGATTGCTTCTGCTCGCCATGTTTCTGTCGCTTTAAACGGCCGTCCTCAGCCTTCAACCTCTCTGGGCGCCACCTTCCATTGGCAACATTTACAAATAACACATGTGAGCAGACGTGCAGCTATGGAACAACCTAAAGTTGAAACTAATATCCTGAAAAAGAAAACATCTCTCCCATCCACACCATCCCACCTGCGCTACGTTGAAGAGCAGAGTTATGGCGTAGTAGAAGTTGGAGTTGGCGCTTCCTGCGTAGATCCAGAGGTGCCACAAAACTGGAAACAAAGCAGAGCAGGCCAGCAGGACGCAGGACACCAGGAAGATGTTCCTCAAGACTGGAGGATTGGAAAGACACATTCCATGAGGGAAGAATTTGATTAATTAACTGAAATGAAAAACCTGAGTCAGATTGGACAACAGAAGAGTAAAACAAGCTATAAAGAGTTTAATGGAAATCCTGCAGAAAGAATGCAGAGTTAGAGACAGACAGACATCAGCCGCACCATCATTTAGGCTGATTAATAGTTTTTTTATCTCTATAGTTTGATGCATTCAGAGATTCATTTAGCAACGCGCTATTCATGGGCGTAGGTTTGCATAGGGACCATAGGGACATGTCCCTACCAACATTTTGGACCAACCTATTTGTCCCTACCAATAATTCGGTTTGAATAACATGTTTATAATTTAAAATTCAGCGTGGTGGATCCCAGCCAATTCTTTTTCTCTCGCAGCTCTGCAGCTTAGTAGCTGCTGCTGTCGCTCCATCTGAGTCCTGTCCCTTAAATAAGTAACCGTGCTGTTTAACTCCACTCTCATTGGTTGTTCGGCCTCAAGTTCCGCCTTCTCTCTTCCTGATTGGCTGTTTTCTAGTTCGTATGCGTGTGTTCGTGCTTGGAGCACGAAATAAGAATTTTATTCACGCTACTTACTTTAAATAATATTAGGCTACGAAACTAGTCCTAATGAAAAAACTTATTCTATCTACACTAAAACAGGCGAAAGCTGCTGATTGCTGATTCTTAGCCACAGCCGACTGAAAAAGAAAATAAGAAGGTTTCCCTTTTAACAATAATTCATTGAAGTTACTGTTCTCGTTTTATTACGACCCTTTGAGGCAGTTCAGCTATAAACAGCAGGTGTTATTTCTTTTATAGAGAATAACGACACGAGATTGCGCCTAAACATCTGCTATTTTTTGTTTAGAAAGCATAATTACAGTTCTACATAATGTTGCTTTTTCTTTGACTATTTCTACTTTTAAAAATAGGATAAAGCCAATAACAAACAGAGGAACAATATTTACATCGATTTTATTTTACATAGATTCACAGTCCATACGTTAATTATTACAAACATTAGTGTTTGGTAAAAATGCTTGAATTTTTATTTTTGGATATTATTACATTATAGACAAGATGGTGTTATATTTTCTTTTAATAATTTTTAAAAGTGATTTTATATTGGAATAAATTTAGTCCCATTCTTAGTGTTGTTTTTTTTAGATGATGCCACTAAATGTAAATACAATAAATGTATTTTCCGTTCCTTGAATGTGTTATTTTGCGTTGGTTCATGATACAGAGAGAGCATTTAAAAAAATAAGACTGTTTCACCTGTTTACCTCTGCACAATTCTATATCTTCCAAAGAAAATACAGGATAAATCCACATATAACAGACATATTTAGACTTTATTTGGTTAAGTTAGCAAATATTTAACTACTGTTTTAATCACTGGTAAGTTTAAATGCAAACCTTTTCAAAGTGGAAAAAAGTCGTAATTCCACATTCATCAGAGCCGGTGACGCTTCAAACATTGATAAACAGCATCTAGTGTGTGTAGTGCTAATAAAATTAGTATACATGTAGCAAGAAATGCTGCTTTTCTCTTTAAACCAAATGCACCCTGATGCTCACGTTTAGCATAAAAAAGCTTGCATGTTTTTGCATGGGTAAAATGACATTAATGACACTTAGGAGCAATAGTGTCCCTACCAAAGTGGAAATCAAACCTACGCCCTTGGCGCTATTTAATTTAATGTTTTCTTAGATTTATTTCTAAAGGATTCTGATGACTCGTTTAAGAGTCTTCAAGAGTCGTCCTAAAAACAAACAATGGCCGCACATATCAGGGATCAGTTACGCTGACGCCACAATAACCGCCATCAGCCTTATGAAACCTGCATCGCTCCATCTCTAATAGGGCTGAATGATTCTGCCAAAAATCTAAATTGCGATTATTTTCAACAAATATTGCGATTTTCCTTTGCACCAAGCACAACCATGTTGATGTTTTATTCCAGGGATTCGGTTTTTCCATGAAAGTCTGCTGGTCCAGAATCCAGTGTTTCTGTACTGTAACCTTTGCATGAAGAAGTTCTTCCTTCTACTATAATGCATAGATCTAGGTGCTAGAGCTGCTCCCTGCTGTGTGACAGCATGCCCACTTTAATCGTATTACCGCCACCTACGGGGCTGGAGGGAGAAGTTAAGTGTCTTACTCTTCTTAAATGTATTGTGACTAAAAATTGTGCCTCTGCAATATGAAAATTGCATTTTCCTAAATTGCGATTATTTTGCAAACATAATTAATTGCCCAGCACTCATTTCTACGAAGAAATTTTCCCCTGTTTTCAGTTAGAACATTAGTAAAGCTGCACATATGAACACCGACTTCAACATCAGACATGTGGGTGTTTTAGACTTTAGTCAGAAGACAGAAACTCCTATAATTTAGGAAGAAGAGAGTTTACATATAAGCCAGAATGATACCAGAATGTAGATGAAAAAAAAAGTATACTGAGATGCACTTATATATTTATCTATTTTAGTCTTTAGAAACACCTTTTAGGCTATCTGGATTAGATTTAAAACATAATAAATACAAACATGTGCCCTACTAAAGGTTTTAGATCCACTGAAACATCTCATAGGGAAGCAGAAACAGATCCATCAGACTCCAACATGTCACACCTGTAGCTTCTCTCCTGTGTGGATCAGTTTCTTTGGAACTTTTTGTCCCTTTTAGGCGACGGCAGCTCTGCTCATTAAAAGCTCCAAATTAAAGGTGAATTATTAGTTTAGCTCAGGGGTAACCAATTAATAATTAGTGGGGTCCAAATAAAGAAAATCAACCAGTAAAGGTCCGGAGACATTTTTAATTATATTGTTACTTTAAACAGAATTTAACACTGAAATAAAATTATGTTTATTTTATGCCTCCATGTTATACATTGACTTTTTAAAAAGTTAAAATTTTTTGAAGTAGAGAACAACAATCGTTCAGTTTGGTTTATAGA